ATTCTGCCTTATTCATTCACCACTCATCACTATTTTATAAGCAGATTCTCTCCTCCAATAGCATTTCTCTCTCATTCTGGGTTGAAACTGGGCATTTGCCGGATTGGCCTAGGCTGGGCCTAGGTGTTACTGGATTGGCCTGCACTTGACCTGGGGTTTTTCTAGGTTTGGCCCACACCTGGCCTAGTTACTGACTGGTTCGGCCTACACCTCGCCTGGATTACCACTAGATTGGCTCACAGCTGGCCTAGCTGGGTTCTGCACTGGCCTAGGACCTGATTCTGGGCTTCTGTTCCCATTAGGAAAGTCACCTGATCAATGTTGCCTAAGATGGCAATTTCCCACGCTCCGCTTTCCTTTTTATTTAGTCTGTTTCTTCTCACAATCTGCTAGACTTTGCCTTGCCTATTCAACTTAGGTGTTTTTTTCAGTGGTATGATGTTCAAGCTCTTCACCATGTTCATGTGCCAAACACTTTTGGCCCATGACACCGGAGACAGTGACCTAAGAGAGTGAGTGCATTCCAAAGTTCCATACCTGCGAATACCTTATCAAGATAAGCCTCGGCATTTGATTCGTCTGAGTCGTCCGGAGCTCGGGGACGTCTTGACAACACATCTGATGCCTGATGAGCTGTCGCGGGTACATGCTGCATGTAGAAGTTGAATAGCTGTATGTAAGATACCCAGCACGTCATGGGCGCATTCAGAAGGTCAGCTGAATTGATCATCTGTTTTAGGAACTTGGCATCTACATCCAAATGGAAATAGAGGCCCCAGATGCAATGCCTAAGCTCCTTGAGAGTGCAGAACACCCCATATAGCTCTAACTTGGGTTGTGAATGCCTATATTCTGTTGCTGAAAAGGTGCATGATCCGAACAATGCGGGATGCTTGTCAGTCTCGCGCATTTGATACAAGACCCACCCGGCGCCGTATTTTGATGAGTCGACTGCTACAATGACGATTCCGTGATCGCTAGGTCGTCCATCATGAGGCGAGATTGCTCGTGTGAGTTGATAGTCAATAGGCTTCAATACTGGTGCTGTCGTCACCCGTTGCTTGATTAGATCCATCGCTTCTTGTGTGTCATTTGTCCATGCGAAGTCAACAGACTTTTGCGTAAGTCTGGTGAGTGGTCGCACAATAATCGAGAACCCTTGTATCCATCGTCGAGCAACCCCGGCGATTCCTAGAAAGCTGTGTACTTCCGAAACATTAGTACAGGACATCCACTTCAAGATTTTGTTTACAACTCCGTGTGCCAGATGCAATCCGAGCAGTGACACTATTGAACCTACGATGTGCAATTCCGGGGTTGCTGCCACCAGTTTATAACCTGACGCAGTGATTCCCGCGAGCTCAAATCTGCAAAGAATGTGGCTAACTGTGGTGAGAAACTCATACACAAACCGACAAATGGGTGAACCCGGAACAATGGGCATGTTGTTGTACATGCTACGGGGACCCTTGATGCCGACATCATCCACAAAAGCTCCAGCATGGTGGGGAACTTCATCACGAATGACATGTGTTATGCAGCGCTGAAACTCCTGCACTGTGTTGCAGAAGCTGTCATGAGTTGACACGGCATCTAGCCATCTTTTTAATTTTTTCCTTTTTGCGGGCTCGAACCCGTGACCTCTGCACTATAAGCCTGAATGGACATTTCCTTATCTACTGTACGATCAGATTAGATGGGCGGCAGTGCACGGCACAGCTCGGGCTCCGCTGACACAGCCGCTCTGACTCACCAGCCCCCAGGGCTGCGTCAGCATGCTGTGCATGGACCAGCTGTGCACGGACCAATGTGCACAGCCTGCCCTTATCTTCCCCTGTATATAAGCCGGCCTCTGCTGCCCTAGGGACCTCAGTTTCGACCTCTTGTCCCTAGGTCAGTAAGCCTCTTATGTATTCCTTTTCTTACTTAACTAACTAATACATTTCTTGTCCCTAGCCTTAGGTTTGAGCATTGCTCACCATCGCTTCGGTGAGACCCAGTCGAACACCCCCAGCCTTCGTGTTTGTTTGTCCTTGTCGCTTGACCCCAAGTCACGACAGTGTGAGCTCTACCGTATTCATATGGGTCCTAAGTTTTGCACGGACTGTCTCGCTGCCTGGTCACTGCCCACACGCCTGCACATTACATGTATGTCTGTATCAAATTCCGTTAATACCACACTGCTGTTGTTGTGGCAAGGATGCTGTGTTTGTCTCCTGGCCACTTGCATGTGTTGGAACAACCGGGCGAGCACATGCCTGACTACCGGCTCGCCGACGTGCCGCGCTGCGGCGCGATAGTACCTTGTTCCTTCGTACCTGATTTAGATAAGTGTTTACTATATTAGGCCGAGTTCTCGCATGTAATCACTTTGCGTGTTTGCCTCCCCGCCCCGAGGACGAGACAAACCACTTCGTATTTGATCTTTTCCCACGCCGCTCGCTTCCGTAAACCTTCGCGCTCGCTTGTTCGAACCCGACGCCGACACTCGTTTCTACAGCATGTAGGATCTATCTGTCCATGCCATATAGCGCTTGAATTGTTTGGCTGATCTTCGCTGCCAGAGCCGGATGTAGTGGAGAATGGTGCGCAGGCTCTCTCATTCGAGAGGCTGACCGCGTGTTTGCAGGCCGTCTCCGCTGAGGGCTGTGTATCACCGCTGCTATCCTTACATGCTGCGGTCACAGAAGCATTCGGCATTGTCAGCAATCGTGCAGCGAGAAAGTGAATGACACATGCGACCGGATCAATCTCATGCAGCCGTCAAAAGCAGTGCTTTCTCGTAAGAGTTGGCCGCGCTGCATTCCGCATTCTGCACCGCGTTGTTCCTCACCGCCGGAACAACATTCTTGTTTGGCCCTCAGTACACAGTGTGCGTCTTAACAAGGTACGAGCGACGTCGGATCTAACGACGTTCGGTCAGAGCTTCAGTGAGTAGAATATCGACTCAAGCTCGCATCGTGAAAATGACAGGTATATAGCGTGCCGTAGTAGGGTGAGTCACCTGTATTTATGGTGCGCGGGCTAAACGAAGAGGACGGGATATTTACAGACAGGAACAGGGGCGCCAGGGGCGCGACAACATCACGCTGATCCCGACGCGATAATGCGACGTCATGCGCGCGCATATCCACGCGGGGCGTACGGACGCGCTTGTCCGTCAACACTCCCCCTCAAGCCGGACGAAGCCCCATCAGGCCAGCGAGGAAGTCGACTTTGCGACGCGCCAGGGCCTTCGTAAGAAGGTCTGCGACCATGTCGTTGGTCGGGCAGTAGTCGAGCGTGGCACGGCCAGAGTCGAGAACTTCGCGGATGAAATGATAGCGAATGTCGATGTGCTTGGTGCGCGCATTGAGGAGGCCGTTCTTAGCGATAGTGATTGCGCTCTGGTTGTCAGAAAAGAGAGGAATCGAAGAGGGTGAGGAGGAAGTAAGCTCAGCGAACAGAGCACGTAGCCATAGGAGTTCCCATGTTGTATCAGAGGCGGCGATATATTCAGCTTCCGTGGAAGACAGCGCAATGATGGGTTGCTTCCGTGAGCTCCAGGTGATCGCGCCGCTTGTGAACAGGAAGACATGGCCAGATATTGAATGACGATGTGGCTGGGATGCCCAATCAGCGTCCGAATAGCCCGTCAGTCCATCGGTGGACAAGCCAAAGGTGAGACGCAGATCGCGCGTGCCTTTGAGATAGCGAAGCACGCGTTTAGCGGCCTCCCGGTGGACTGGCGCGGGGTTGGCCATGAATTGAGCGAGCGTCGAGACCGCGAACGCAATATCCGGGCGCGTACCGATCGCCGCGTACATGAGACTCCCGACAAGACGTGCATAGGGTTTGCGAGCCATCTCCCGGCGTTCGTCGTCAGTGAGTTCGAGGCCATGGAGTGTGACGTGGGGGTCCATAGGGACAGTGAGTGTGTAGGCATCAGTCATGTGGAAGCGGTCGAGGATGGTGTTGATATACGACGCTTGCGAGAGAGAGATGGTCCGGGTAGCACGATTTCGATGTATCTCGAAGCCTAGCAGCCAGCGTGCTTCGCCGAGATCAACAATCTCGAAGCGAGCTCCTAGTTGCTTCTTCAAGTCGTCCATGATGCGCTTGGTGTTCGTTACCAGCGTACAATCATCGACGTGAATGACAATGATGATGATGATACCAGGTAGAAACAGGAAGAACACACCGAAGTCGTGGCAACTTCGTGACAGGCCTATCTCATCGAAGAGCTCGCAGATCTTTTGGTACCACAGGCGTCCGGCTTGTTTAAGTCCATACAACGCCTTGAGGAGCCGCCAGATCCAATCCTCGCGTCCTGGAACCTCGAACCCGGGTGGTTGTCGCATGTAAATCGTTTCGTTGAGGTCACCATTCAGGTAAGCATTCTTGAAGTCGATTTGATGCACCTCCCAGTCATTGGCAGCTGCGAGAGCAAGTACGAGACAGAGTGATGCGAGTCGCGCAGTGGGAGCAGCAGTCTGGTCGTAGTCGACGCCGTGTGAAACATTTGTCTTTCCGTTCTATTCCTTGTACTACTAGCGCCCATACTGGCGCCTGTCTTAGCGCTCACCCGCAGGTTGAACATTATGTAGCTTACATAATGGGGTCCGTGCGCACTTCGTGCCTGGTATCGTACCACTACGTTTCTTTCTTCACTAACACGACCACATAGACACGATGGTCCGTGCGCAGTCGGTACTTGTATAAGTAGTTGTACCATTAGTCGGTCGAACCCTAAGTTCGACCTGGTTATTCATTCAAGTCTCTGCTCCTCTTCACTTGGGGTAGTGGTCATTCTCGACTTCCTCGCTCGATCTTCAGGACGACGCACTGTCCATAAGCCCTCGCTCGTCATCTACGAGTCAGGCATCGATATAGGAGTATAGACCGTTGTATCAAAAGGTCGAACTTTCTAAGCTACGTTCCTAGTTTCACCTAGTCGAACAACTCATCCACCATCACGTCGAACAACGCAGTAAACCCGGTT